TGCCTAATAATTACGCACACCTGATATAGGGTGTTGATGTCATTAGACCACACCCCTTCTCATTACAGAGATGCACATCACCTAATATGCTTAATTGGTGGTAGGCTTTCGAGCATAAACAGCTTGGAGTAGGACAACATGCATGAAGAGGATGATGTGGACAAAATACTCATTTGCCTAATAATTCTGCACTCCCTGTATGCTAAACCCAGGCCATCCAACAGGGTTGAATTATACCCTGCTGCAGGGCTGTTTGACACCAGTGGTTTAAACTGGATAAAGCGATTCGTTGCACATGTTTGATAGATTTTATTTTTATTGTGACTTTATCAGGTTCCTTGTAGTTTAGGTTATGATTATTTGATCTGTCAAGGTTGTCTTTTTTCCTCAGTAAAAATCAAGTCACTGTCAACAGATGGTCACTGTCCTGAGAAATAAACTCAAACCAGACTGAGCAAGGCAGTATGCTTAGCACTGTTGTCTCATAGAAAGAACGCCCTGGGTTTTAGCACCAATGCAGTGCCACTTATAATTGCACTGTATATGGTGGCAAAAAATGCAAGAGACATAACTATGGTGGTTTTTCTATTTCTGCATTTCAATTTGTCCATTCTCCCTGTTCTTCTCTTTGCAGGAGGTTTTGCCATAGTCTTTTTGGTGAGGACTCATCAAGGTGCACGATGTGCACTAAAAAGAATGTATGTCAACAACGAACACGATTTGAAGATCTGCAAACTTGAAATACAAATTATGGTGAGTGTGATTGCCCCAAAGCTGACTGGAGAACACTCAGCAATTTGCATTACTGTTAGCCTGCTCAGCAACAAACAAAAAAATCTATCTAGTGTTAAGGAATTTGATACAGAAAATGCAAATATGAACAACCCAGAATGCCCGAAATTTAAAAAAAAAAAAAAGTTATGCAAAAACACTATTTGACTTGTGTCAAGTGGTGATAACAAAGCAGCACTCAGGAATGTAATTAGTTCCATTTTAGAACATGAAGTTTTGTTTAAAATTTTGCCTTGTAAGCTCAGTTGCATGTCCGTTTCCTAACTGTAAGTGAAACAGACCAGTTCCTGTAGCCACTCCCTGGTGACATGCTTATCAGATGATTTTATCATCATTACTTTAAGTCCTTTGGCAGGACTTAAAGTAATTAAACTGAGAATTTACAAACATTGATGTATTTTTTGATCTATCAAATAAAGTTTCTCAGGACTGCATGAAATTTTGAAAATTGCCTCTCTTGTTGTTCATCATTCCTGTTTCTCTCTCTGTTTGTTTACACAGAGGGACCTGGTGGGTAACAAAAATATAGTCGGCTTCCTGGACTCCAGCATAACTGCAGTCGGAGCTGGTGATGTGTGGGAAGTCCTGATCTTAATGGACTTCTGTCGAGGTAAATCGCCCAACCCCCTCCCCATGCCTTTCTATCTCTGAATTCAAAGCTCCATTACCCTCGGCTCTTACAGCATCCTTTCTTTTCTTTTTTTCCAAAGGCAAATGTTCAGCTGATAGCTGTCGTGGTCAATAGAACTTGTGTTTTACTCGGTGCTTAACTTAGCTGTGTCATTTGTAGAAAGATAAAATGTTAACATGCCTGTGCAGTTGTGAGCATCGTTAGGGTTTTTAAATTGTGTAGTGTCGAAAATGTATTAGTTTTGTTATGCTATAAACAGCAATGTTAATGTGTTAAAGCAATACATTCATGATGCCCTCTTTACTTTTTTCTCTTATGTAAAAGCTGACCGCTTTGAAGTGTCATGTGAATGATAAAGATTAATGTATGTTTTTGTCATTTATTTTAGATGTGTTGGGATCAGAGTAAACTTATATTTGAGCCTTAAATATTACCTAGAAACTTTAAATAATTACATTAAAAAAAAGGAATTTATGTCTTTTTATTGACTAAATTTTTTTTCATTTAGGTGGCCAGGTGGTGAACCTAATGAACCAGCGGCTACAGACGGGCTTCACTGAAGCTGAGGTGTTACAGATCTTTTGTGACACGTGCGAGGCGGTCACTCGTCTACATCAGTGCAAGACTCCAATCATCCATCGAGATCTCAAGGCAAGCCTAATACATTTTCTGTATGCGAATACTACTGACAGCACAGATCTATCCAATGAATTATCACACTAGTAATTTGGAATATTTTTTGTTTGTTTGTTTGTTTTTTGCGTTTGTTTCACTGTACATCACATCTCACAAGTCTCATCTTGTCTTCCACACATAGGTGGAAAATATTCTTCTTCATGACCGGGGACACTATGTGCTCTGTGACTTTGGAAGTGCCACCAACCACTTCCAAAATCCACAGACAGAAGGGGTGGCAGTTTTAGAGGATGAAATCAAAAAGTTAGTTGTTTTTTTCCTCTTGATGTACCATCTACCCTATTTTCTCCCTATATTTCAGAAGCTCATTGGTCTGTTCTCATACATTACTGCTACTGCAGGTATACTACGCTGTCATACCGTGCTCCAGAGATGGTCAACCTCTATGGGGGAAATGTCATCACAACAAAAGCAGACATTTGGGTGAGGCTAACTTAAAAATATTATCTAACTACTATGACGTCATACAGAGTATATGTTTTTATATGTGTTCATTTCCTTGTCTGCGCAGGCCTTGGGTTGTCTTCTCTATAAGCTGTGCTACTTCACCCTTCCATTCGGCGAGAGCCAAGTGGCTATCTGTGATGGCAGTTTCACCATCCCAGACAACTCTCGCTACTCACATGAAATGCACTGTCTTATTAGTAAGTACTCTATTTGCTTAGATCATGCGACTGTTCTGCTTTCTGAATATGTGTAGTCTAGGTGCAGTTAAATTTAAATGCAAATTAACTCAGAATATTTTTTGTGTCTCAGGATACATGCTGGAACCTGATCCTGAAAAGAGGCCAGACATTTACCAAGTATCCTACTTTGCCTTTAAACTGGCTCGACGAGAGTGTCCCGTCCCAAATCTACATGTGAGTCATCACGGCGAGAGCAATAGTGGGAGTATTAGATGAAAATATGTGTGTGCTCAGCAGTAACTTAGATTTTCTTTTTGTTACTACATGTCTTTGATTTTACATCTCGTGTGCTGGAGTTTGAGTTTGAGTTTGAAACTTTCCTAGCAAACTAGAAACGGCTATCTAGGACACAGTGATATTAATGACAGTACAGATTTTGTCACTAGGCTCTTAGTAATAACAAAGCACAAAACAATTATACATTTATGGAAAATACTAATCAAAAATGTGAAAAGATTTGATCATTTTTGATAAATCTTTTCTCCTCTGCAGAATTCTCCTATTCCTGCAAAACTTCCTGAGCCTATCAAAGCGAGTGAAGCAGTGGCCAAAAAGAGTCAAAACAAAGCCAGGTGAGTGACAAGCAAAGCGTGTGTGTTATTTTTATTAATATTATTGTCATAAGAAACTTTGCGTTACTCTGCAGAGTTTTCTTCTTCTTCCATCAGGCTCACAGACCCAGTTCCTACAACGGAAACCTCAATTGCACCTCGACAGCGGCCCAAAGCTGGCCAGGCTCAGCCCCAGCCCATATCAGGCATTCTTCCCATCCAGCCAGCACTCACCCCACGCAAGAGGCCTGGTGTGGCTACTGGGGCACCCCAGGCTATAGGTACAAGGAGCTGTTTAAACTATGATTCTCTCTATATGTCAGGGTTAAAACCATTGTGATCAAAGCCTGGATTTATGATGACTGTTACCCTGCTAATAACACTATTTATGTTGAATTACTTTTGGTTCATGAATCCCTCAAGAATTTCACTATAAAATCTGTTTATATGCTGTGTTCCTATTGGTTTAGTCTGCTCTTTAAGTCCCTTCTGGTCAACTTGCAGAGACAGAATAGATGGTGGCATGATTCACCCTCACATTTATTTATGTGTTGTTCAAAGTCATTCTTTTGATTGGTATCGGTCCAATTAGTTTTTGCCCCTCAGCCATAAAAAGGCTGATGGGGTGTTGTGTCACCCCACTGCGGGGGCGGGCGGCGTATATACCCAAGTTTGTGAATCCAATAACTCGAGAGCGAGGTGATTTAAGATTTTCTCACTCACTTGCACAACAATGTTTGTGTGGATGATAGCTGGTTTATGTAAGAATCTGCACAAAAAGAATCTGTGTCGTATTTGATGATCAAGAATACTTTTATAATTTTCTCATATATCGTATTAACTTCCCTTACAGGTGTCGGTATCAGTGTCCCTCCTCCAGCTTCAGCTGCTGTCCAACCTGCTCAACAGGCTCCGTCTGCTAACATGCAGCCGCAGGCTACATCTCAGCATCAGCAGCTGCTTATGAAGCAGCAGCAGCAGCAAGCCTCTGCCTTCTTAAGCCCACAGAGCACTCAGCAGGTAGGAAGACTGTTAGAGCAAGAATGGAAATGGTGATTAGCTGCAATGTGTGCTGTTTCATGGATGACATTGAATAATGCTGTGCACGCGTGGTGAGACATTTTAATGCCTTTGTTTTCAAAGAATCAACAGCATCAGGGATTTTTCATAAAATGCATATTCACTGTGCAAGCAATAACAAGAAGAGTGTGATACCACGCAAAGGGTTTGGGCTTGATAATGAGACACACTTGAAAATACAAACTTCAGGTGTGGGCTGTCTGTGTTTTGCATGATGAACTATTTTGATTTCTGTGGATTTTAGTGATATTGTTTTTTGGCTGAGCTGCCCTGTTTGTTGTTCAAAATCAGTTTTAAGAGCTCTGTTTAGTTTCAGTGAAGCTTAAATTCAACATGATTATGTTCATCACTGGTGTGTGTGTGTGTTTCAAGCCAAAGCTACACATTTACACTGCTCCCAGTCTTAAGGTGGTAATCTCAAAGGTTTCAGGCCTGGTTTGATTTGGTTTCTTACCAATTAGATTGTGTTCATGGTGTTTATGCGTACAGTCACATACTTCCTATAGGTTTGTCCTATACAAATACTTTATAAATATAATCTAATGCCTCATCCTGTAGATGAACTCCACTCCTAGTTTCTTACACTGCAGCTGGCAATGGTGGTCCTTGTTCTGCTCTCTAGGATTTGTGAACTTGTCGTAGTGCAACATGAAACACTTCTCCACCTGCTCCACATTCAGGCTTTCATGTTGCAATGGATCTCCAGAGCTGGAGGAGGACTGTTGTCACAATCTGTAGTCCTGTAATATGTAGAAGCTGGCATCAGTCAAGATCCGATCTTGAGAAGGAGCTGAATGATATTAAGGAATCCTGCAATAGTGTGTCTTATGTTACAGATAGGAAGAACCAGGGCCAACAGCAACTGTACTTCCCAAATAAAACACTTATGGATGCCGTCTTTTCCCCAGATGAATAAAGAAATAACAATGAGAAAATAAAGAATTAGTTGACAGGCAGTAAGTGTAATTTTCATTCATTCTGTGACATATTGTGATTTGATTCTCATGCTGCACATAGCATGAGACTGCTAGCACCACACCTCAGTGAAAGGGTTGGAGGAAGTTACCTGGCTGAGAGGCAGGAAATGTGCTGTTTGCAGCTCTTTATTTAACCAGCTTACTGTAGCTTCCTTTTCCATTCATTCTTGCAAGATTTTAACTAGATCTGCTGTCAACAAATTTTCAGTGTTATGACAGTGTCTCTCCTTTTGCCTGACTAGATCACCATAGTAACTGATGCTGAACACACAACCTATTCCTGCGCAGGTTATCTTCAGAGTTTTGGTTTAATTTTGGTCTGAATTTTGGTAAAACTTCAAGTTTCGAAACCCTAATGTGCAGTTGGAAATAAACAGCATTTATACAGCGTGTGTCAAAAAGAATCGTCTGATTTTAAAGTGGTTTTATTCCCCATTCTCCAGCAAAAGTGGAAATGCCCATTATTAGAAATAGGAGATTCGTGAGTGTCACGTGGTTGCTGGTCTGTAGCATAACAGCAGCAGTGGCAAGTTTGAGTATTGTGGAGACATGTTGTGTGTCTGGAGGGGGACACATTGAGAACTTGTTAACATTGTCTTGTTTGTAAAACTTAATATTCAGCCATGTACTTTAAACATTTACCACAAGCTTCTATGTCCATTATTTCGATTACACTTTAAAATGATAGCTTTTTGAAATAAGATGATTCTTTTTGATACACCTCACTTTATTTTAGTGCTAGGAGAGCTTGCGATTGATGATTTTCTGCCATCACTGCTCGCTTGTCTTATTTGCAGCAATAGGAGGTGTATTTTAAATTCTTTTTCTAGATCTCTACTACCTGTTCCTCTGATAATGTTTCTGATCAGAGTAGGTGGAGCTAAGTCATTTGTTTTGTGTGGAGGAAGTATCAAATGACATGTCAGCTGCCCTCTTGGCACCTGAAGCAAGCCTAGGTTAACAAAGAAAGTTAATAACCACTACCATCATACCTGTTGTCTGAGACTGGATTGTTAGGTTTCATCAAGCCAGCTAACAGGAAAAGAAAATCTTGGCTATGCTGAACTTTTTCTTAGTACACGCCTGTTGACGTGTTTCGTTGACACGTTCTTGAGGAATGATAGTGTGAACTGCTAAGCTTACAGACAAACTCGTTGCATTTGTACTGCAAAATTACACATTTACTTATTAGGAATCATTCCTCAGAAAACTGTTAAATTCCCATTCTGTTACCTCATTTATCAATAAATGTCAATTTAACAGACATTTGTTCAAACAAAGCCTTTGAGATTCCCACTTTATTATTAGCTGCAACAAATATTTCCATATTTTTATAGGTTTGTTATAGGTTTTCTTCCGTGCGTTCATGTTGTTTGCTGGTGAAGCAGAACAGAAAAAATAAATCTGGTTTAGTTTTGCAATACATAACAGAAAATATTTCAGTTGGGCCACAGTTTACCTTGCTCACGGTCAGCTGTGTGGTGTTCCTGTGTAGCATCACCTGGTACAGAACCTCTACCACCACCAACTTCAGCAACAACAAACATCATCACAAGCATCCAGTCTGCTGCAATATAAACCTGTTCCTCAAGTTGTTACCCTGCAGCATCAACACCAACAGCAGCAGCATTTAGTCCTTGAAACTGCAGCTGCCCATCTCACACCCATCCCCGAGTCCGCAGTTGTTGGTCCTGCAGCTCGTGGTCCAGAGTTTGTGGTAACGTCCTACTCCTGCTGCTGTCTGCTACTCTTTGGGTCGGGGCTGATTATTGGCTCGTCTCTAACGAATCACATCCAGACTTTTGCTCACTTTTTCCTCTTCTCGGTGGCAAAATATTCGAAAAATCTCATTCCATTTTTACTGAATGTATAATGTATAGAATTTTCATGAGTTTCTGTCAGACTGTTTCATGGTTTCCTCTCCTGTAAATGTTTCCTGTTTTCATAGAGTTGTAGTTTGGAGCAATCTTCAATCTCTTTGATCAATTTTCTTTTCCAGTTGCTCTTACTTGTTCTAATGTTTGTATCTGGTTCTATTATTTCTTTTTTTCTTTTTTTTTCTTTTTTTTTTATAATACTGAACTGTGCAAAAGTCTTCAGTTTTTCCTTTATGTTTTGCTTCCAAGCAGCCAAACTTGCATGTAATTTTTAAGTGGTCCTGAGCAATAGTTCTCCAGGCTTTATGAAGGACTTTTAAAGTTTTTCTTTGGACTTTGGCCTTTTTCACTCATTTTTAGTCCAGTACTTGTATCTGACCATTTCAGAGGAATACTGACCTTTGAATTGTTCAAACATAGAAAAGGCAGCTAACTCAATAGATGAACCAGTGTTGTATCTACACTTAAGACAGCTTGGCTTTTATGAGCAGAACCAATTTTAAATTGTATCTTTAGGCACTTTGTTACAGTAGCCTATTGCAAAAACATACCATTTGTTTTTGAGCTGACTCTTTGAAAAATGAAGAGCTTTAATTGTCCTTCAAGAAACTGGAGAAATACTTCTAAAGACCAGAAATTACAAGAAAGCTTATCTAGCAGAGTTCAGGCTGTGTTGAAGAATAAAGGTGGTCATACCAAATATTGACTTTCAAGCTGTTTAGAATTGTACAAACTCTGTTTGTGCTTCTATATAATTTTTTTCCATGTATGTTTGCATGTGTTTCTATAGACCACAGGAACTTCTACTATTTTTCTAGAAAAATATAAAGAAAAGACTCTAGACTTTTGAACAGTACCATAGAGAAAAGGTTTTAGTTACTAACACATTTTCACCCCTCTGCATCATTTTTTTTTCTCATTGCAGACGACTGGCAGAGGGATCCACAAAGTTGGCTCCCTAACACCCCCCTCCTCGCCAAAGACGGCCACCAAGAGTGGCCACAGACGTATCCTTAGTGATGTCACCCACAGTGCCGTGTTTGGGGTCCCCGTTAGCAAGTCGACCCAGCTACTTCAGGCAGCCGCAGCTGAAGCCAGCCTCAACAAGTCCAAGTGAGCAGAATGAACTCCCCTCAGTGATCTGAGGATGAACTGTTCTTTCATGACACTGAGTGAAGATCGACGTGCAATAGACAGTCCATTCATATCACAGCACCCAGAAAGAGGACAAATAACTCTTTTAGATCCCCCAGAATATCTCACTTCAGTCCTTAAATAACTGTTCATTCTCTCTCCTTACTACCGCATACATCAGGAGGCCAGTGTGCATTGACTTAACATCCTTTGTGTAGTTTCACTGTGTGCTCCTACTGTCTTTTATATTTATCTTTGTACTGCAGATCAGCAAGCACTACTCCTTCTGGGTCCCCCTGCTCGTCCCAACAGAGTGTATACCATCCAGGTGACGGGGACGCCTCCTCAGCACTCACTGTCCCCCACACTCAGCCTGCCTGGAATCCTTTTGGCGACGATAACTTCTCTAAGCTAACAGCAGAGGAGCTTCTTAACAAAGACTTTGCAAAGCTAGCTGAGAGTAAGTTCAGTTTGTTCACACACAGCATTAGTGAATCATTCCATGATCTAAAACCTGTTTGTTTTTTCTCCTCCTTTGGCTTGTGCACAGCTGCTGCAGCTGGAGAGAAAGCTGCGGGATCCAATGAAAATCTCATTCCCAGCCTCAATGCCTTTCCAGGTAAGTCTTTGTTTAGCTTTTCTCAGTATGCCTCTGGCAGCTTTGTAAAGGATGCTTCTGAACCAGCTGGATTTGTCTCAGTGATTGAGTATATGCGTATAATGTTAATCTATCATAAGGATTTGTCTGTGGGCTTCTGTACTTCGATTAAAAGAAAACAGTTTATAACCATCAGAAATCACAGCACAGCCATCATCTTAATCTTATTTGCATGGTGATTGTTTTTGTTTTTTTATTGTTACATCTAAATGCATCCATTGTAGGAAAACTGCCCGCAATTAATATTGAAATATTCAAGTATTAGCTGTTGATACTACTAAAGCCAGTGTCCAGGACAGCCCTAGAGGCTTGCGCTTGTTGTAAGCAGGCAAATAGTCAAGTCAGAGTATCAGCTTTAAACTGCAGATCTTCAACTGATGATTCCAAGCACTGACTTTGAGTAAGCATCCCTATTTGCATCCCTATTTTCTTGCATATTATTAGAAAATTTCTGTTGTGTAGGTTATAGCTGCTCTATATGTTGCTGTCTCAATTTTTAGAGTCCACTGTGCAGTATTGATTTTTAGCCATCACCTCACAAGTGTAGCGTCAGCACTGTTGTCTCTCAGACCCTTTTAACTGCCTCTCACTCTATAATATTGTGGTCACACCAGGACGCACAACGAGCCATCCCTTTGATTCTCCTGGACTCTTAGCAAATATACCTCATGAGTGACTTTGTTTTTGCTCAGGTAGTTTCTTGGCTTTCACACCATCCACAGGTTAGCTTCCAAGTGCCAGTTTTTGTGGTTTGGATTAGTACACAGTTCTACCTTGTTGACTTAGCGAGCAGCCTCACAGTGGCTTCTTGTCAGCGTTCATGAATAGACAGTGTTGCTACAGCTAGATCGCATCTCATTTGCAGGTCTGTGCTTTCTCCTTCTCTGTTGCCCTGGTAACGCGAAGGACAAATTCTCCTTTGTTAATTGGATTGCTTTACTACTAGTGGAGCCTGCTTACCAGTGCTGCTAGGAACAAGAGAAAGCTAAGCACACTCTCCTGTTGAAATGACGGTCCAGCTTTTTATTTTCTTCTCTGTTTAGTCTTGAGTGCTTCTGGAAGTGTATGCTTCATGCCTCTTTACCTTTTTTTTATTTTCCTTTTTTTTGTTTACATACTGTTTAAGGCCTGAACTGAGAGGATAAAAACGTTACGTAATAAGGGTGTGGGTAATCTTCTCTGTCCAGCCTAAGCTATCTCTTTGACTCTTTGGATCCCTTACTGAGATAGAATGCACACAAGCAAACACACTCTGACTTCTGCTAAAGAAGCACAACATCCCATCTGAGATAACGTGAAAACAGCCTTGTGGCAAGAGTGCAACAGCATGTAAAACATACTGTATGTAGCATTTTAAAACTGCATATTTTCACTGTTCCCTGTGAAAATCAAACGTTTGACATTTAGGATTTGTGAAAAGCTTTTCACCAGCGTTGGCGTCTTTCCTATAGCGAAGGGGTCAGAAGGTCACATCTGCTGTGCCATTTTCTGAGCCAACACATTCCTTGTCCTAGATGCCCCCCCCCCAACCCTTTCTTTGCCCCATAGCAGTTTCCTGTGAGTATAAGGCTGCAGTGAAAAATTAGTAACTGCATGAAATACACATATACTATAATAAATAGAAATACACTTCATGCATGCAGCACACTTAGTACTTAGTAAAACCAGATCTTATTTGTTTTGGTAACGACAACTTAACAACATCAACTGTGGGTTTTGTTTTGTTTTTTTGTGCACTGCTCCAAAAATGAGCTGAAAATGTTGTGGAAAATAAAAAGAAAGGTCTTCATTGGTTGCTTTAACTTGAAGTTTTTGAAGGTGTGAAAGAGCATGAGAAATGTTTTCTGCTTTAAAGATCTGCTGCCATAATTTAACTTTTTTGGCAACTGAATGCTATTGAGGAAGGAACTATAACCCAGGGATGTCAAACTCATTTCACGTTGTGTGCCACGTACAGCTCACTTTGACCAGATAAATACAAAATGTTTAAAATCTGCAATCAATTAGTAAAATTTATTTCTTTTGTATAGTATGACTAGTCATGCCACAGATCTCTATCTGTAGGAAAAGCTGCAAAACTTATTAAAACACATTTAAAAGTCAAAACATTTATGCTGTTCCTTATATCTTCCAGAGGCAGTTGATTGGAGTCTTTGCTTGGCTTTTTTTGGGCCCAGGGCCTTATGTTTGACAACCCTGATATAAACTAACAAATGATTCATTAATTTTATTATATTGATGTGAAAGTACCTCGAAATTTACATGATATCCTTAATTTTTTTTCTTACTGTCTGCTGGATGAATCTTGCTTCTAAAAATGCTGACCATGAAGGCAGATGGATGCATTTGTCCTTGTTGATTTTTGCCATCATGCACCATCGCAAAGTGTAGTTTCTCTGCTTCTTTGTCATTTCTATGGAAAATCCTCTCTCATTGCCTTTTTCTCTGTTGCCATCTGTCCCTTTCTCTTCTCCCTCTTCTTTCTCTGGCTCACTCACAGAGAAGCTGATTGAGGGACAGAAGTCCCCTGATACTTCTCTTCTGCTCCCTGACCTCTTAACCCTGACTGACTCCTTCAATACTGCTGCAGAGAGCACCACAAATGGTACCAGCTATGTTCTTGTCCCATGCGTTGCCCCCAAAAATTCCTTATTTGCTCTGCATATGTCTTCCTTCCCTTTCTTTTCTCTAACATCCTTACAAAGTCAGGCATATCATCTGGGAAAGGAACAAAGAAGATGTTCTTCTTTCTTTTCTGTACTACTAATAACGTCTTTGTATTACTGTTTTACGTTGTGTTTATGTAGTAAAGGCAGAGGTGTGTGTGGACTCACTGATTCCTGGTTTGGAGGCTCCCCAGCCCCAGAGACATTTGGGCCAGCCAGAGCTCATTCCTGCCAGTGTGCCAGGTTAGCATCCTGGACCTCAGAATAGCACTTTTTCCGATCACTGTTTTACCCAAGGTTAACTAAGTTCAGGTTCTGCGACAATCCTAAGATGTAGTTTTATTGATTTATATTAACTCAAACATTTGCTGGCGTTCCAGATAGGGTTGTTCGTGTCGCAAAATAAACTGTTTACGGCAATATTTTTCATTGTTTTGATGGTCCTTGTAGTGGCTATATTAATTTCTTAAAGTTCTCTCTTTTTCTTATATTTTATATAACCACACTAAAGATGGACAAGCGCCTGTTTTTATGCGTTGGTTTATGTTCCACATAAACCTTTCACAATAAAGCTCAAGATCCTGTTGAGACTTTTCAAAGTAAACTGAATCACGTGAAAGAGCAGATTATTTACGGATGAGAAGTAAAAAAAGAGCCGCCAGGTGCTAAAAAATAAACCTTAGACTCAAACGTTAGAACAGGCTTTTCTCTGCAGCACGCCGTGTAATAAATACTCACAAAGAAAACAGCGGCTGTTACAACTTATGTCTAAAAATGTGTAGTTTCATGCATCGGTTAAAACACTCGACTCCAGCTACATGACGCGCAGCTGGAAACACTTCCCGCAAGACGAGCTGCCCGAGATTCGCAGAATTTACAGAAAATGTTACATTTTTGTGATTTATATCGTTATCGGGACGATAGAATTCTTATATCAGGATATGAGATTTTGGTCATATCGCACAGCCTTAGTTCCAGATCACAATCATTTTGGTCTATAACTAGAACAGTTGCTTTAGGATGGTTCAGTTATATGGACCATAACCTGCTTAAGCTTTAGGTTGTTAAGTGGTCTATTCAGTGAGATCTGCTTGCATTTTTCTGTGACCCACTTTGCCACGTTTATCTTGAAAAGTGCTATAGAAATAAAAAATTGTGCTTAATCATTGAAAAAGAGACGCCTCTTTTTATTGTTTGTTATTAAATGAAGCTAACATAGCTTTTAAACTCTTTATGCTTGCACATATAAGCTATTATAGTAATACAATGCATCTTTTTCTGCTCCTTGCACTAACAGTCTTACTTTCTCATACCCTTTCTTTCTCTGGCCGCTGTCTCAGATTCTCTCACTGGGGAGGATTCTCTGCTGGGTTGTGATCTGTTATCTCATACCTGTCATGGAAACCCATCTGTTTCTGTTCTCCCTTCTTCTTGCTCCTCTGCTCCTCCTGGCGCTGGATCCTGCCTGGAGGAGCTGCCAGCTGGTCAGACTGCTTCTGGTAAGACCTTTTATTTTCCGCGTGCGTGTGTGGGGGGGCGGGGTTTCGGGGTTTCAGTGTTTGTGGCAACACAATTGCAGACCCCTGATCAACCACACAATAGAAAGGCCTGTTGAAACAGTAAAAAGCAAAAGTGGAAATTGAATTGGACACTAAATGACAGCCTCGCCAGACCCTTGACTCATTTGTAGAAGATGCTAAAAGCCATGTAAAACTGAATGGCTTTTAAAAACTTTGACTGCCCTGGCTGCTTCCGTTTATAATCTACTCGCATCCTCCTTTCTTTTCTTCTCCTTCTCCTTCTTTTTTTATTTCCTGCTCTTTTCGTTGGCCGAGTTAACCTCTTCCCGCTTCCATCGTTACTTCACTTCCTCTTCCTTCACCACAGACTCTGCTTTCCTCATGTCGTGTGGGGAGAAGGGCAATGACGACGAGTTTGATCCTATTCCAGTGCTCATCTCCAAAAACTCAAATCAAGGTAAGGCTAACCTAATTCTGAGATGAGCACTCACACCTGCTGAAACCCAGACTGTGAGCCACAAAGATGAATGAGCTAGCCCCCCCTCCCAGTTTAGTCACCATTAGCTTGTTCCTGGGATTTCTGATGTGAGAAGTCTTGTATGGGTGGCTTTTTTCTTATCTCATCGAGCTCTCACATTAGTCATCTTTTAACTCCCAGTGCTTCGCCATCTTGCAGGTGTTTTTTGGCTCTTTTTAGTTTATCTTGAAAGTCTCCCCATGTTAGTATGGCTTTCCCTAACTCCCCCCTCCCCCTGTAATGATGCAGCTGTATAAAAGTTATCCCAGCTCACTCTCTGCTTGTTTCTCTTTCTACCCCCTATTCATGCATCTCTCTCCCCTCATCCTGGTCATCTTCCCACTCTTTAATTTCTTCATGCAATCCCTGTTAAAATGACTTATTCTTTTGCTTGTCTTTCACACTCTCCCTCGGCTACTCCATGCCCATCTCTGTCTCTATCTCTCTTTCTTTCTGGCACGTTCCAGGTGGTCACTCGCGCACCAACAGTGGCAGTTCAGAGTCCAGCATCCCCAACTTGGCTCGCTCCCTTCTGCTGGTGGATCAGCTCATCGACCTCTAGAGGGGGTGGGAGAGGTCGAAGGGGCAGTGTGCAATCCTAACAAAGGGATATGGGGGGAGGGTTGGGGGGGGGGGTAGAGATGGGCACGCAGAGGCACTTAATGTAGCACCTTATGAACCAAGAGGAGCCAGTATTCTCTTTATGTGCCTCCTTGGCCTCAACTCCATCTCTAGTTGCCTGATAGCTGGTTTCATATGTCTCTGCTAGCCGCTGACATTCCCACACTGGTAAAAATCTTTTCATTAATGCCTGAGCATATCGTCCGCTTCTGTCTTGGCTACACCATGGTCTTCCTCATGCTTTCTTCTTACTCCCATTAACATCCTTCACAGAGTGCACGGCCATGGTCGACCATCATCGTATGCACATGTTAAGCATGGTTATATGTGTCAGGGGTCTGACTAAAGACTGTAGAATGCTGTAGATAATTTGATGCACTTTCCTATGAGAGCTTTGAACTACTGACCAAACAAAGATGCAACCTGGAGCTGCGCTTCTGTTCGGATTGAACCAGTTTATATATAAAAGAAGAAGTGTCCGTTTTGGATAGGTTTTAAAGATTTCTCACACTGTTGGAGTGCGCATAGTCATGGAAAGTCAAATCTGTTCAAGCCATCATGTGCCATGATTCCTTTATAGATCTATTTGTCTAAACCAGCTATTCCCAAAGTCAAGAGTGCTGCAGCCCACTTAAAAACCAGAAAATCCCACGGGCCCCACCCAGTGTTAAATCTTCACTCTAATCAAAACACGAGAGGGTGGTGTGTTTTTTCTTGACATTTCTATTTAAAAAAGCATAAACAGCCCAGGCTGTTTGCTATAAATTGCTAACGCTGCCCAATCACATGCAAAGTGTCATGGCCACCTGCCACTGGGACTCAGACTTCAAAACAAGAGTGTAAATTTAGATCAGAGTGATGAAAAACTTCACCTCCGATCACCTGTGTTAATTCACTTTTATATAAATAAATACATTTAAATATGTACATACTTGTACATACTTGAGCGTAATTTCTGTTATTCTGCAGGCACCTGTAGTACCTTTGTGGCCCACACTTTGGGAATCACTGGTGTAAACCGACCAAGTGGCTTCACAGGCTTGAGCATACCTGTATACTGTCCCCTCTTTCTGGATGTTAAGCAGCGTGTCTGGCGTATTCTAATGCTACACCTGTAAATCTGTCAGTTGTAATCATTTCCTGAAACTGCTGAGGTCAGTGTTAATACAGCTGGTGAGTTCGGCTCCATTGCCACAGCACAGCTTCCCACCATTGTCAGCATTATCTACAACACCACTAATGCCAGCTCATTCTCATACCTGTGACCCATCGTTGAGGTAAGCACAGCAGAAGTAAAAGGGAATGAAGGTATTTGACCTGTTCCGATGCCAAAGCTAAACAAGACTCTATTATCATGCTGTTTTTCCTCTGTGTTGGTCCGCTCTCAGGGTCAGTATAAATGAGCAGATTTTTAGCAGAATACCACCGTCACAGAGAGGGAAGTGTGACGTAAATGTCATTATTTTGTGTAGGTATTATGTTAATGAAGGAACTTTACATGAAAATATCCTTCCTCCTTCTCCCACTGACATCCTCTCAATCTTCTCTGGCCAATCCTTTGTTACCATATACCATAAAGTCAGTTGTGACAGTCTGTCCAGATGAAAGAGAAATGTAAATATACATAAAGTAACACTTTTCTTTTTTCTTTTTCTTTTTTTTTGCACTTGTCAGCATTGGTAAAGGTAGATTTTAGTGTGTAACATTTTATCATGTTATGATTAAAAGTGACTATTATTGATAGTGCTTTAGAAAGAATGTATTAACTGAGGACCATTATAAAATATGTAAAAATTGTATAAGGATGTATAGATAAAACACATTTGTGTATGAGGCTTTATTTAAGAGTGCAAAACTGTCGACTCTGTCCTTCTGTCTTCTCTCTTAGTTCTTGTCAAACATTTATCTAGTGCTCACGGTTTAGGCACCAAACAAACATGAGACTAAGTGCTTTTGAATCACTTGACTGGATAGTATGTGTTGCTCTCCATTGCAGCTGTTAGGTTATACACTAGTACTGGTACATGTAAGTTACTGTATATGCCTGAATAGATTTTATTTAACAGAGCTAATGACGGAACTAACTTCCTGATAACACTGGGATACCTTTCACCTCTGTCTCCTATAGTTCATTAAATAATCATAAGAAAGGCTTGTGTGTGAGTTGTATTACATCCGATCTTAACCACTTTAAATGTCTACATCCCATTTTCTTTCCATTTAATATTGCGGTTCATATTTTTGCAGTCCACTATAACTCTGCATCCTGCAGCACTCTGCCACTGGTTGCAGACTTTTACGTGTGTTGCTGTGCTCTTTGGGTTGAAATGCAAACAGACTATCTATAATCATCAAAGTGTTAATGAAGTATCACTGATGGAGATCATCAGACTCGTCGTTCCTTTGGTGTTCTCTTAGCCATAAAAGGCTAATGGGGTATTGTCATGAATCCTATTCATATCACCCGGTGTAATGTTCATAAATAGAGTGGTTGTTGTGATCAGACCAGTTTTCAGAAACTTAAAAACTTTATTCCTCCTCACACTTTTTCTAATTTGCCTTCCTAAATTGTGTGTCTGTTAATCAGGTAATATCTCAAGTTGACTGTACAGACTATGAGCTGTACTGTGAGAGATGAGAAGCTGTTTTTCTACACACTTACGTGAGCTGTCACACTGAGGGATATTTTTGTCAGCTCCAAACTGTGTCATATTCACACTTAAGTCATACGGAAAGGGCGTGGACGATTTAAAACACAAGTGAGGAGGCAAAGCTCGCCCAAGAAGTAAAACAAAACAAGAGCCGAAAGAGCTGGTCTTTTCCTTTAATTGCTTCAACTAACCTTTCCCCCTGAGCTGCACGTTAACAACTGCTGTCAACACTGCTGAGGTAAGACTGATCTGTCTTCTGTGCAGTCTGTCTGTCGCTAACTATTTTTCACTTTTGCTGTGAAGGCTCTTTCCCCTTGTTTCCACAGATCTTTCTCATGTTCCCTCCTCCTCAACTGACTCAGTTTTAACCTAAAGCAAAACTGCTGCCACTGTTTTCCTGTAACACCGGCCGTTACTTGTGAAGGTTGAGTTGAGAATCGTGGAAACAAGGTTAATGTGGTGACGTACTAGTAGAACTGGTAGTGTTGTGACTGTGACTTGTTCAGAGTAGAATTGTAGTCTTGTGATGGGTTCTCATTGTTTAGTCATCCTCGAAAATCAGTGACTTAGAGATTTTAGAGTCCATCTGTTATGCGATCTGGTAGATAAATGGGCAGCTGGACCACAGATGGCAGTTCCTTCTCATTTGTATTCTAACATTTTTGTTTACCTCCAATTTGTTTTCCCCCTCTATCTTTGCTTGCTTGAACAGATCTCCAAGGGGAGAGTAATGGCTACTCTGTGCTTGAGGAGGGACAAGAGACTGAAGCTGTAGGAGCAGATTCTCCACAGAATGAGGGCTGTGTGCACTCCAGCGATGAAGACGAAGAAAAAGAAGCACACAAGGACGAGCAAGAGGACGGTGAAGGCATTGAGAGTCACATAGCCCCCCATGACTGCAGCGGTTCTAGACCTCTGCTGCAGGACTCTGAGGATGAAGAAGACCAAGGGCCTCAGTTAGCTCTCCATCCATCTCTGCACTCCGGCACAGCAGCAGCACAATCAGCTACAACCTTCGATCAACCTGCTCCAAATACCTTTGCCCAGAATCACTTCCAGCATGTACACGAGGCAGCAAAGGAGATGGAGGGCGCTGCAGATATCTTCTCCAAAGCCCCCTTTCTGATTGCGCAAGAAGACACAAGTGACGTATTCGCCAACGCTCCATTTCCACGCGGTCCCCTCGCGGCTCAGCAGCAGCAGCAGCTCGACGTTTTCTCTCAGGCTCCATTCGGAAAAAGAAAGGAGCCCAAAGGAGCGCAGCCGAAGACCTCGTACCCCCACGCAGCTGGAGCTCACGCTGTAACCTCTGATCAAGGAGTCTTAGAACAGGTTGCCCAGCAACCTTTCCGTCCTCAAGCTCTGGCCAAATACTCCCGACACTTTGAAGGACCTGTGCCCCAGCAGCCAGCAGCAGCTCACAGAGTGGCGTCTAACGCGAGCAAGCAGGCTGCTGTAGCATCTGTCCCCGCTGGACCTCTGCACTCGTGGACCTCAGACGTGAGCGCTGTAGACCCATTTGTCTCTGCACCCTTTCACCTCAAGGCACCGCAAGAAAAGCCCTGAACGCACACTCACAGGTCAGGGCAGTGGGAATCCGCGCCTACCGAAATATGCAAAGTGTAACAGGCGTAACGCATGCTGTCACCAGCGCTGCAGCGGGACTGCAGGCCTGCATGGATCTCATTCTTAACCAACTCAAATAGTTCAAGGTCATCTTTACTTTGAGTAAACTGACATCAGTCCCACATTCACACTATTTTGTTTCCCTCTGCCTTTCATGTTTTCCTTCTTGTTCTTATTTACACAATGACTACATTATGGTCAAGCATTTGATTGTTTTCTCGCCTACCTCAGTTTTCTTTTTCTTTTTTTTCTTTTTTTTTTCTTTTGGTGTGCGTCGGCGCTGAAATATCACACACAGTGAGGGAGGTCATAGACTGTCTGCAGCCGTGGCGGTTAAATTTCCTGGACAGTTTGAACTTCATTGATCTGAAAATGCCTCATTCCTTTATTTTGGTAGTCAGCTTGAATGACGTGACAGTAACTTCATAGAAGCTTGAAAAACGGGAAGACGCAGCCTAGGAATATTTCATTAAACTAGAAATGTGCAAATGCCTTACAGTTAAACATTTACAGTTACTTTTTGTCTTTTATGCTTCGAAGTTCATAAAGGAGATGCTGGATGTTGATGCAAAGTGTAAATTAAACGTGTGCGTTACGTTTGCCGTCACAATCATGTCATACAAAAACAGTTTGTTCCACATCATGTACGAACTATAAGTAAATGTTAGTCATATAACATTTATTATGGTAATTCTTATGTTGTATAAATGAAGACCATTCCCGTTGTTTGTCCTCACTGTACAATATGACATCTCCAAAGCCTTAACACCCTTGCTGCACCTCAGAACCACATCAGAACATCAGCAGCATTCATCACGTTTGCCTTCGTGCCCTCCTTAAATGAAAATAAAGACACTGCTGCATTCACATAATCTTACTGTACTCGTGTTCAGCACCAAATACCTGTGTACAATCATGTACAACTTCCTCTTGCTGTCTGCTGTACACGCACGCACAAGATTGTCATCGAGCACAGGAATGCGTCTTTGTTGTCGACTTCTGTATCCTAACTGTGACACATTTATGAACAACTGAAGTGAAAACTTTTGACTGCAGCTTCAAATTAAATAAATAAATATTACAACTGTCTACGGCACTCATGCTTCGCAGTTCCAGTCAGGGTAAATGTAGTGTTGTCCAAGTGAAATCTTATATGGTGTCTGATTGATGACATTCCTGTTGGATTTGTTTCCGTTGCCATTCAGACATATTTAATTGTCTTTGTTCTTTATAGAATCATGGAAGACCTATTTGGTTCCCAAAAGGGATCCAGCCTTTCTCAACCCAAAGCTTAAATTATGTTTTTCTCCTTTGCAATGTAAAATCTTTTATTTCGAAGTGTTCGGTATTTTGATATAAATGTTTACTTTTCTCATCCCAGTTGTAAACAAGACGATTGCACATAATCACTGACAGAGTGTCACGGTTCTTGAAGAATGTGTTTTGTTTGTAACACAGCTGTAAGTTTGTTTTTGTTTATTTTGTTTGTTTGAGGGGGGGGGTGGGGGGGGTGACCGCTGTTGTGTAAGAAACATTTGGAGTAACAGTTGATAACACTGTTGGACAGGAAAGCACTCAAAATACTTCTTATGCTGCACAGCCTGCCTTTGAAAACTGTCATGAGATACTATTAAATGAATGTAAATCAAAATTGTGTGCATGTGGTTTTTGTTTTTGTTTTTTAAATGATCGTCAAAACATTCAGTTCATGATGAAGTTGGTCCACCACGAGTTAAGTGTTATCTTTTGTACCTCTTAAATTTGATATATATAATTCTAGGTTATTAATAATATACCTCGGGCATAATGAAACATTACCTTGACCAATATAATAAGGGAGGCTAATGGGTTGGGTTTTGCTATACAATGAGGGCTTTACAATGATGACTCATTCCATACAAAAAAATAAATAAAAATTTTACATAAATAATAATGATCACATTTTGCCTCATAAAGATCAACTGTTTTTTTTCCCTCTCTATTGAATTAGTTATGTTATCTTTAACAATGGTCCCCTGGGTGTTCTCATATTTGCCTACATTTTTTGCTCTTCTGGATGTAGTTCATAAGAAGGGAGAACTGTTTGTTTATTTATGTATCTATTGGTTTATTTATTTTACCAAATGAACTAGTTGTGGTCATATGGTTAGACTATGGTTGAAGTACATTCTTCTTAAATGTAGGTCCTCCAATGCTTAGTGTGCAAAAAAGATTTATTTTCATCGGTTAGTGGACTGATTGTTGGTAAAAGAAATAAATACGTTATTATATCTAAGACATACTTTGGTCATCTACAGAAATGTCCAATTTGGGATTGCACGCTGTCTTAAATTTCATTTCATTTCTATTTAAACTCCGATCACATTCTTACACAACATGTTGACTTTATGCATTCACAAAAATGGCATCTTAGATGAATTTTTAAAAGTACTTTTTGTTTTGGTTATTTATATATTTTACTTAAATACATTGCTGCTACCTTATTTCATTGGGAATTTTAAACTAATTTTAAACTGTGTATATTTTTTTCATGAGAGCAATTACCGGAGGCACCGGTAGAGTGCGGTGTTACAGGGAGATACCGGATGTGAGCACACAAATTTCAAGAGAAGGAGGAGGCGCTAACGTAGGAGTTTGTTTTACATGAAAACAAAAGTGATTGTAGAATATGTGGTAAGAAGCGGTATGTAACAGTAATTCAATAATCCGTACTAAAGTGTATTCGTATACAGGTACAGATGTGAAAACTGTTTGAGAGCGAGACTTCGCTTTTGTTTTGAAAGCACGCGCCTTTCGGTGCTAGCTACTTGCGTGCTCGTTGATGATGTGTTTAGCCTTTTTTTGTTTTATTGTAAACTTTATCGCCTAAAGGCGCCCGCGTGTGTTATTTCGGTGTACACAGGTGACGTGAGGTGTGTGTTTACCCGGGCACGATGACTACTCAGAGAGTGCTTCCTCAGAGCAAAGAGACTCTACTGCAAAACTACAACAAGAGGCTCAAAGATGACATCCGCTCCATTATGGACAACTTTACAGAAATAGTCAAGACAGCAAAGGTAACAGACATACTGTCACCTCCCTCTTTGTGTATTTTCGTGTTTTTACTACAATCAGAGCTGCTCACAACTCATTTCGTGCCTTATTACTTGCATTTGAACATCATAATGTGGCAAAGGCGACCTGCTGAAGTTCAAAGCGAGCACCAACGAGCGCCAGTTCTCTGTGTGAAGGTGCAGTGTTAATGCCTGAAGAATGGCCAGAATATTTTAGGCTAATAGGAAGGCACTGGTAATTAAACTAACCAGTCCCTACAGTCGAGGTATGCAGAAGAGCTACAGCAGCAGAAAGTCGCACTGGACGGAACTGCTGTCAGCTAAGAGCAAGCAACTGAGGCTACAGTTTGTACATATTCACCAAAACTGGACAACAGACGATTGTACAAACATTGCCTGGTCGGACTCTCGATTTCTGCCATGACATTTGGATGGTACGGTCAGAAGTTGGTGTAAACAACATGAAAGCATGGATCCATCCTGGTGCTGGTGGTGTAATGGTGTGGAGAATATTTTTTCTTTCCACACTTTACGTCCCTTAGTACCAGCTTAGTGTTGTTTAAATGTCACTTATTGGTTTCAAATTGGTTTACATTGATTAAGTGGACCAAATACAATACACCATTATGACGAGTATAATATTCTACCACTTATCTCTTTGTCCAGATTGAGGATGAGACACAGGTATCCCGACCTACTCAGGCAGAGCAGGACCATTATGAGATGCATGTCAGAGCAGCCAACATTGTAAGTACTGCAGAAAACGCCTGACAACACACTCGTATGCAACATATTCAGGGCTTTATTGTTATTTATTTCTGTTACCTGTGGGGAAGAAAAAATCCAAAGCTGGTTACATCTGTTTCCAAGAAAGACTCCTTTGAATGAAAGGTTAACATATTATCCATGTAATTTATCATATTACTGTAAACATGTTGATGTGTGCACTAGCACTAGTCGAAGAGTCACATCTGGGGCTGCACTTTACTGTTGCAGTATCCTTTGTATTGAAATGTTGTAGTTTGTATGTAACTGACAGACGCATTACAGCCCTGTGAATGAATCGGTTTCTACACTTAGCGAAAAATCTTTTCTGTGCAGAAATTGACATTTTAACAAGTCATCGCTATGATCATTTTCAAACCTGCTTCCCCTCTTCTATGTTTCTGTGCCAGGTACGTGCCGGCGAGTCCCTCATGAAGCTGGTCTCTGACCTGAAGCAGTTCCTAATTCTGAACGACTTCCCCTCCGTGAACGACGCCATCAGCCTGCAGAACCAGCAGCTCCGCTCGCTACAGGAAGAGTGCGACAAGAAGCTCATGTCACTCCGTGACGAGATTGCCATCGACCTGTATGAGCTAGAGGAAGAATATTACTCCTCCAGGTATAAATAGGCTCATACTTGCCCCCATCCCTCATCCCATTGCGCCTCTGTCGTCCCATTCCCAGCACCGCTGTTTCACATTTCGCCGTTTTCAGTGTGCCTTGGGAAGGGCTTGTGACAGTGTCTAAACTGAGCCTTTCATCAAAATTGTTATAGGTCTTTGTAATGAACCTCATCTCACCACAAGCGCCTTTACATTGTTACTATTTAGTGCGTGCCTTGACCTTTTTAAAAGAAATCATTATAAGAGATGATTAGAGGGAGGTCTTCAGTCTTAAAGTGGCATGCCCTTAAATATCAGCACTTTGGAACCAAAAACAGTAGATTTACTGAGTTTACTTCTAATGGTTAGTGCTAGATCAAATCAACTAGAAGAGACACTATAGTCTGCTGTGATTGGTTGTTTCATGGATAGGTGACTGATGAAGCTCTTGGAAAAGATCTTGTTCATATTTTCATTGTCCCTTGTGATTAGTAGGCAATTGGTTATCACCAGTCTGATTTTAAAAAACTACCCAATCACAGCAGAGCAACTAGTCACTGCCTAGGAACTAGTCTGCAGCGTCTGATGGCCTAGAGCAGGGGTGGGGGAACTCCAGGCCTCAAGGGCTGGTGTCCTGCAGGTTTTAGATGTGCCCTTGATCCAAACAGAGCTGATATAGCCCTTGAGGCCTGGAGTTCCCCTCGCCTGGCCTAGAGAGATGTTTACCCAACATTATCTGGTAGACAGGAGAGATTCAGCATTTATAAATCTTAGTATTGAGAACTCCTTGTTCATTTATAGTAATAGAAAAAATGAAAAGAATGAACAAAGTTTATTAAAAATCTATCATTTAAAGCACTTGATTTGCTGTTGTGTCCATCGATGAATTGTTGAAATTTGATGGGTGCTACAAAGAACACGTATATACATCTAAAGTCCTAAAGCTATATGGATTTATAGATTTTTTTTTTCTGTGTGTAAAAGTATCATTTTAATCAATTTAAGATTATTTATATGTAGTATTTAAGTCAAATAAAGTTGTGATGGCCTTTTGTGTTATATTTTAAGGATGGTCTGTGCAGTTAAACACACACATTTGCTGGTATTTATTTAGAGTTTCCACAATAATGTTTTTCATTCCGTCCCTAAAATCTAAAAGGTGTAACCTTAACATCAGTGTCAGCCACAGTCGCACATGTTTACCAGTTTTTGCCCGCTGTTCCTAGAGACCCAGGATGATTAAGAAATAAAGTAGAGACAAAATGTTGAAGTAGTTTGTCTTGTTTTCTGTGATCAAGTGTTAAGAGGTGTCTCTGAGCTCTGTTTGCATCATGCCAAATTGGGGTCTGCCATGCTCTGTGCACTTGCGCTGCTTTTCTGATCCATCAGCACTTGTTCTCACCCTTCTGCTGAGCTTAATCAACAGTCATCCCTCTAAATAGTAACACGTGAATAAATTGCTGTTTTATGTGTAAGTTGTTTCTGGTGCTTCTGCATAACCTCTGTGCTTCTATCAAATGTGCTTTCACGTGCTCCTCTCTGAGTTGGTTGTGCTTGTTTCTGACCTGCTGCTCTCGTCTGCTCCTCTCTTTCTGTGCTGCACTGATTCTTTGCCTCCTGCTGGTTTCTGCTCTGCACAGCTACAGTCAGTGGGACAGCACTGACCTGCCTCTGTGCGAGGCCTACCGCCGTCGAGACAGTTGGGCCTCCGCGAACAGCAGCAACAGTTCTACGCACGGGGAGCGCGAGGACGTGGACGGGCCTCCATCTCAGGAGACGAACCCCCAGCACCACCTTAACGGACACGGGACCGCCTCCGTAGAGAAACCGTGAGGAGGAAAGGGGGACACCTGTCGGTTTGCTTTTGCCCAGTTTGGATCAGTTATAGCTTGTGAACCGTTGTTTGACTTGCTACTTTTTTGTATCGAGGACTTTAAAACTGGACTTAAACTTTGCAATGAATGGTTTCTTTTGGATTAACACATCACAAAAGTAAGAGACTGTTGTATTAAACCACCTAAAATGCTTGTGTTGAGTGGTAGGCTCTTAAGTGCAACTGCTGCTTTCCAAGATCTGCATCAAGCCTAGTTACAAACTAGAAGATATATTTGATAAAGAACTCCACTGTAAAAAGTCTAGACTTGAATCACGTTCAGTAAAAGAAGTAAAAGAAAATGAAGACAACTTTAAACTCACCTTTGAAACTCAAGTACTTTTTTATATTCCTGTGTTAGACTTTGCATTAAATGTATTTTATTTTTTTTAAGAATGGCATTGGTTTACTTTTGTCTGTTTAATTTAACTGCACATCAGATTAAATCAAATATTACAATATTTTTGGTTCTTTTTTTATTTATTTTTCTGAAATCTTTAAACACAAATCTACAGCTAAACATGTAACAGTGGACACTTAAAAAGGGAAAAGTCACCGATATAAAAAAAAAAAAAAACCTGACCAGTTTAAGACCAGAATCTGCATCCTTAACATATTCCTGTCTTTTAAACTTAAGACAATCCTGAGCAAAAGAAATCATCTGAGACATTAACAACTGTACTGTATACAGACAAACAGCAGGAGCTATATACAATAATTACACGGTGTGGCCCTGATGTTAGAGCTATGCCATCAAAAGCTGTTTGGGATCCTCAAATGATTTATGGTCCAATCTTGAGTTTAAAATGGTTTTATATATATCCACATCAATATCGTCGATTCATCTTCTTGAACTTCTCATAGTGGTAGTCATCTGTAGCCTTCTCATTGTTTGGACGTTTGCGGTAGTTTGGTGGTGACGGAGCTGTGGATGAACAAATAAGTTAGAAATCAGATTAAAGGTTTCAAAAAGATTTTCAATAAATCCCCACACAGACACACAAGTAAATGGGGGGTACCATTGAAAGTAAATTAAATGCAATGATTGTAATACAGTTTGTATCTAGCTTGGATAAAAAGAAGAAAATCCTGAAACTGAGAAATATTTTTGGAAATGCACAAGTGACAGTGACTTAAAACAAGAGTTTCACATTCTGAAAGGTCTGGCCCACAGGACAGTTTTCCACTTCAACTTAGACTTTATTCAATTTTGAGTTGGCAATGTTTTTGAAGTGTTTGAGTCTATGCAGTCATTCCTGCTACAGATTCATGTCTGTTTTTAATTTACTGCTTCATGAGGGTCTCAAGGTCACAGCCTTCTCCCTTCGTGTGCAGAGATTTTTCTTGATTCTGTGAAATTATTGTCATTATGAGTAGAGATGGCACGATACCACTTTTTAATGTCCGATTCCGATATCATAAATTTGTATATCTGCCGATACCGATATGAATCCGATACAGTGTATTTTGTAATCAATAAAACTGTTTTTTATAAATATCTTGCTGTATTTTGTATAAGTTCATACTCAAGTTTTAAAAAAAGACACTGAAGCCATTCTGTTACACCTGTGTGCAAAAAATACACTGCACCCAAAACATTTTATAGTTCAGCAACACTGATCAATTTAATAAATGTAAATTTAAATTTAAACACCATCCTCCCTATTCTGGTATTTTAAAGAGTACTTACCTACCTAATTACTAGGGTTACCAACTCCCAGCAAAAATATTAGGGAACCACCCCCCCTCCCTTAATCGATGTAATCAACTTTAATTTAATGCAAGTGTAAAACAAATGCACAATAATCAATTATTTTTCTACAATATTTAAATAGATTCAACATCTTTCTTCAACAGAATTGCAGACTGCACAGATGGTACCTTCCCAAAGGAAAAAGTACTATAGCTTACTAGGGTGTATATTAGACCTAATACTTACTATATACAATAATGGATTTCTATACATTTAATCAGGTGACCACTTTTGTTGTAAGATTCAGGTAATTACTTATTCAAAGTTTTTAAATGACATAAAGAAAAATATTTATTTGCGCCCCCCCTTTCCTTGTTAATGCCCAACATGGCCCCCGACAGGTCTCGCAGACAATAACCGCTCTATCACGTGACATATACTGCTCCGACGCACCGAGCTGGGTTACGCCAAGTAGCGCATTTTGTGAGGTGATTTTGTGATACTTCAGATCGGATTACATTTTTTATTTCTGTCCGATATCTGATCCAGTAATTTAGGTCAGTATCAGACCGATACGTAATATTGGATCGGTCCATCTCTAATTATGAGATGATAAAATCTCCAAATTGCTAAGATAATTTTCAGAAAACTTGACCTCTGACCTTGATCTCAAAGTCACAAAGCCGAGTGTCCATACTGCCTGCTCGCCGGGGTGATTCCACCCACCCATTTTCTTTTGTTTATCCAACTGTTATAGAACTATTTCTGTGTACTCAGCAGTGAGCGTATCTGTAGTCTCTTACCCTCTGGACCTGGTTTCTCTGTGTCGCCCACACGCAGCGGTCTTGCTTTGGGTTCTTCTTTGTGTCTGTGGTGTCTCTGCGGTGCATTTGCATCCTCATGATAGACTGAAAGAAAAAGTCAGCTCGATCAGTATAATCCGCTTTAATTTAGGTGTGGAATATCTCGCTCTCTTCAGATTACTTACATCGATTGTGTTGGACGTAGTTAACAGCGATGTTCGTGGGTACAAATGATGTGCCGTGGTCTTTTTTCTTGTTTCTTTGTTCTGCCAAAAGCTTTGCTTTTGCTTCCTCTGTCTGGATAATGTTCTTTATCTTTGCACTAGAAAATAAATTACATACACAAGTTGCATTAGTAAAGCTACAAGTAAAAAGCAGCATTCGTTCGTGCCATATCTCATGCAAAAATGCAGTTTTAGTCAAAAGACTCCTCTTGCTGAGTCTAAAATAAGTGTAGATGATTACTAGAATATTCTCGGTACATACTCAATGCCGAGATCAACTTCAGGGATGCCACTCAGCATCTGATTAGACAACATCTCCTCTGTCTTCTTGGCAGAATTGACTCGGATGTTCTCGGGCAGCTCGTACAGGTGGTCCTCTGGATTCTTCACTTTAACTTTATGCTCCTCAGCCTCCACCAGGCCCTTCTTCTTTTTTAGTTCCGTCTCAATATATTTCATCCTGTGAGGATAAATTTATGATAAAACCATGTTGTAAACAAGTGTGAGGGTATCTTGAATTGTGTCCTAAATGTTGGGGATTTGAAATGTCTCTTCTAAGTAATCTGTGCTATATCTAACTAAAGTGGAGGGAAAAGAATCAGACATTGGGACAACAAAAAAGAAAAAAAAGCACACATACATATCTGCATCCTCGTCTCTTCTGTTTGTCTCGGCTGAAAAAGACGTCCCCAGGTTGAGGTCTGTCTCATCTTCTGTCCTGAATACATAACATGAAATGATGACATATCAATGCACAGCTTAGAGCAATTATGCTAAAAATAGTTAAAAACTCACTTACATGTCTCTATTCCGGTCTTTCACTTTCTTCATGTCAACAATTCCCCCAGTCTTCAGTTTAAATGGGTCATTCTGTGCGGAATAATCAAATAATGTTAATAAACGTAAGTTCAAAAAACAAAACACCTTGGTTAATGAAGCTATATTACAATTTTAAAAATATATATATATTTTACAAAACTGACTACCTACCTCAATTTCAGCCTCTGGTGGAAGTTTTTCTCCAACCAACAAGGCGGTCACACTAAATAAAATAAATATTTAAAAAAAACTGTGATTGTAACTGCTCAAACCACAGACTGTAAAACTTCATGCAAAGTAACAGGATGAAACGTGTTCGTGGTTTGATTTATTTACGTTACCTGATTCCGGTCTGTCGTTTGCGCAAACTCTGTAGCTCTTTAGCCTCTTCCAACTTATGTCTAAACATCCATGAAACACAAATGATTGCAAACACATTACCTGGGCAGCTTGTATGAAATGCGACCACAAACTATCTGCGTTTAGCGATTAGCATTAGCATGCATAGCACTACTCTAAAGGGCTTTTTTTTTTTTTATTCCTGTGGTTAAACGGATGGCTCTACCTGACTTCTTCGGTGGTCTCATCCTCCTCCACATCGGACGAGTCCCTTCTCCTTCTAAAATTTTTGCCACACGGCATTTTTTTTAGATACAACACAAAATTATTTCAGAGTTTTCTAGAAGCTGGACTTGAGTGCTGCTGGAATAAGAGAGGGGACGAACAAATGTACAATAATAGTGCGTCACGTCCCCTTATTTACCGCGCCACTTCCGTCGTGTTTAGCTAACCATAACAAACATGGCGACTTACAGGCAGGTCGGCAGATTGTTGGGTATTTCAGCAAGACTTTCTCGTCTGTAAGTTGTTTTGTATTTATCTATATCTGCATTGTTTTCTGGTTTTGCTTTATTTCATGTGTGCATGAATGTGTCGGCATGTTAAGCATCAGGGTCAGGCAGGCTAACGGTAGCACGCTGGCTAAACGGCGGAGTGACGCAGTGAGCTACAGAGCAGGGAGGTGTGGGGATGTTTTACTGCTTTAAACGTCTCCACCATACAGCCGCTTATTAACACTTTAAAGTCGTCAGTATCAACCACAACAAACCTTTGCAAACTTAAAAAAGGGTTTTTTTTTGTTTTTGTTGCATAAGTGCTAAAACTTTGGCCCGATTCTAATCTGCTTTTTCTGGATTATCCCGAGTTGTACACAGGGACACCGTTACTCTCGACAGTTCATATCCATAAGTTATTGCAGTTATTATAGTTAACAAAAATATTACAGGTTTTAGTATCGCTTAGCTTGGTTTAAAAAAAAATTAAACTGCCTTATCAGGCTTTCGTAGATATATTTATTTACACCTAAGAAGTTTATAACTGCACTGATTTTACTAAATCTTGCCTCTGACATATGCCCTTAATTCAATAAGTGATAAAAAAAAAACAAAAAAAAAAACAATCTGCACTCACTCTGTAAACTAACTCAAACTAAACTGGATTAAAACATCAAAACAAAATATAAATAACAATTAATTACAAAAGGCAAAACTAAAATAACTTTCTGCTGGTGTTTCTACGGTCTTATACACTCAGACACGTCATTACAAACGTCTTTCTAGTACTGGGTTGGACCCCCTTTGCCTTAAGAACTGCCTCAATTCTTCATGACATGACCAAAATGGTTGAGGAGTTAAGGCAATGTGAAGTTCACTTGGTAAAATTTAGGCCCTTGTTTGTTTTTTACCTTGTGAATTTCCTGTGCTACCATGATAAATTAAGTATCCCATGAAGCCTGTTTTCTCCTTCTTCTGGAACCATTTGAATTATGTCTTTAACAAAAACGGAAACAGTTACTGTCATTTAAAGAGCACTTGTAAATTAGGGCTGCCACGATTAGTCGACTAGTCACGATTATGTCGACTATTAAAATCGTCGACGACTAATTTAATAGTCGAGGCATCGTTTGAAGCTTTGTAAGATCACAAAGGACGCAGGAATGAGTAGTAGGATTTAAGAGTGTAATAACGGACTGAAACAGAAGATGGCAGCACTGCATGTACAAGGATGCCAGCTGCCGTTAAACCCCGAAGAAGAAGCTGTGTCCCAGAATTCATAGCGCAGCTGTCAACAATGGCGGCAGCTAGTTAGTTTTAACTTTACTCTTATTATTCTTTCTGGGTCACAAAATAAACGTTTAACATATTTTCAGGGGAGAATGTAGCTGTGTAAACCTCAAATATCTGCTCAGTTTATCAAGACACCACATATTTTCAAAAGCGCTCCGACGTTTTCGGAGACGTCTGTTACCCACTAGCTCGTTAGCTAGGCGGGGGCAAGGCTAACTAGAGCCGTGAGAACACCGGACTCCCGGCAAATCGTTTTCAAACCCACCGCCGTCTTTCGCTAGTCAGGTTAAACATATATATATAAGTCACTTAGATAACTTAAAAATGTTATTGTTTGGCTTTCTTTAGTATTTTATTTGTTCCTGAGTAAATCGGTTTGGCTGCGATTAAAGTTATAGTTTTTGCACAGCTAAAACTGTCAAGCAGACAGCTGATTATCAGAAGTGTGAGACGCTGGAGAATATACTCAGGTGTCCTGTTATATTTTAGAAAGCAAGGAGTTTATTAAACTTCACCGAAACAATCTGCAAATTTCATTAAAAATTAATAAACTACCATCTTGTCTTTATTTTTAGTTAGCACAAACACTTCAAGCTGTAAGCTAATGATAGTTATATAAGACCAGATGCTGCTGGTGCAATAAGCTGTACGCTGTACGTCCAATGGATGATGATCTGATTAGTCGACTAATCGCAAAAATAATCGTTTGTGGCAGCCCTATTGTAAATAAAGGGTTAAAGAAGCAAGCCATTATAACCACTTTCACAAAGGGATGTACATGGTGAGCAGCATGTCATTCCACGTATTCCCAATTTATCCTCAGATGGAAATAAGGGGCTCAAAGTATACTAAGAAAAAAATCTGCACGATTGCTACACTACCTGAAGCCTAAACCATTGATACAAGGCAGGATGGAGCCATGACAAATCTGACTGTACTATCCAAACATCGCTGCAGAAATTGAAATTCATCCCGAATGTACAGATCAACTGTAATCTTTTTCTTTCTTTTTTTTTTGTTTATATGTATAAAAGAAAAATTCTTAATAAAAAAAAATTTGTTTAAAAAAAGAAATTAAAATTCATGAGACCAGGCAACGATTTTTTCAGTGGTCCATTTTCCAATTTTTGGTTAATCCTGTTTATTGTTCTTAGCAGACAGGAGTGCCACACAGTGTGGTCTTCTGCTGCTGTAGCCCATCTGTTTCAAGCTTCAATGTGTCTTGCATTTGGATAAGGTCTTCTGTTGTAATAAGTTGTTATTTGCATTTGAATTTGTATCAGGTTCATTCTCATTTGACTTCTGACCTTAACAATGTGCTTTAGCCCAGAGAACCATTGTTCACCAGATATTTTCTCTCTTTATGACAATTCTCTTTAAACACTGAAGATGGTTGTTTGGGAAAATCCCAGCAGATCAGCAGGTTCAGGCAAATCTAACACCAAATAAAAGTAACAGACAGATTTCTGCTGTTGTCCACTTTCCTTGCATATCATATACAGTGCCATTTTTGCCTGTAATTGTATAGTGTATGTCTGTGTTTTCTATTTTGTAATTCAAATGTCTTATAAAAATAAATAAATTTTTAGTTATCAGTGAAATGATACAGACAGTTCTTTCTCCTTGGCTAAAGTAAGACAAATACTGATTGCACAGTGTATCGTTTTAAGCTCTGCATGACCCCTTTGGTTGTTTTACGTGTTGCCTTATGCAACAGTTTGTAATACAGTTTTGTACAAACACTGTGCACCAAATCATTTTAGTGGATTAGTCTCACCACACCTTCATGTTTTGAAATCATTATTTCACCGCTCCAGAGAGGAAGGCATTCGATGAAGTGAGCTGGCATGGGTGCTTGACATTTTGATTTCTAACACCATTCATTTATCAGTGTGAGCTGGGCTGTATTAAATTTCTTCATCTGCTGCATTTTTCAGTCTTGCTGTCAGTGGGTTTCAGAGCACTGGATTACACTTGCCTTCACATACCACAGGAGTTTCAAACAGATGGCCCTCAAACCCCATCTGGATTGTTCCTGGTTTGTATTCAGAATAATCACATGTGTAACATTGAATGTGTTAATACTGGAGTGATTGTCTTGAACCCAATAGATGCAGCTGCTGTTTGAGCAGGTGCCTGTAGGACACGTGACATTAGCCTTGCAGTTCAATAAAGTAAAGAGTTGCTGCACAAAATAAGGACACCATCTAATGAAAAAAGGTGATTTATGTTGCATTCTTCTTCTTTGTTTTTTCTCTTCCCAGGAAGGACCATGTTTGTGCAGACGCAGGATACACCAAATCCAAACAGCATGAAGTTCCTGCCTGGCCGGACAGTTCTTGAAACAGGAACTATGAATTTTGCGGGCCCTCGTGAGGCACACTGCTCACCTCTAGCCAGGTATGTGAGATTACTGGTCTGAGAGAAATGCCTGATGTCAAACAGTCATCTTAGCATAACAGATGTAGGTAGATGAGTTTTAATACATGCGGTCAGTGCGGTGGACAGTGCACATGACAGGTGAAATAACTGACTGGGTGGAGTGGATGGAGATGAGTGTCAGGGGTGATTTGTGACAGAGGAAAAGCAGCAAGAGTGAATGAGACATTTTACAAGATAGTAGTGAGACCTGCTATGATGTATAATTTGGAGACAGTGACCCTGACAAAAAACAAACAAACAAAAAAAAAATAGAGATGACAGAGTTGAAGATGCTAAATATTTTATTTAGAGTGATCAGGATGGACAGGATCAGAATGAGCATGTCAGAGGGACAGCTCAGGTTGAGCAGTTTAAACACAAAGTTGGAGAGCCAGGCAAGGCTGAGATGGTCTGTGCAGAGAAGGGTTAGGGAAGTGAGATGTGCAGAGAAGTGATAGTGGATATGCTGCACAAAGGGTGTTGAATATACAGCTTCCAGGCAGGAGGAAAATAGGTGGACCTCCAGAGAAGGTTGGTGGATGTCATGTAGGAGGACATTAGTGTGACAGTGGAGAACGAT